GGTCCGGGGTGCCGAGCCTGCGGGGGCCCCTCGCCTGCTCCCCAAGGACCCAGGCGGCTCAGTCTTCCCGCAGGCCCTCCCGAGACGCCCACGCCGCCGTCTCTACAGCAGGGGCCCCAGACCCCACTCCGAACCAGTGCAATGTCTGGGGCGGGACGCTCCCCCGGGGACTGGTTTCCGCAGCCGGCCGAGCCCGCTTTCTAAAGGGTTTGGTTGGACCTAGCAGAGGCCTGCTTGCACGTCTAAAATCGACTCGGGACTTGAAGGACGCCCATTTTCTGAAATCAGCGGAGAAACTAGTGTAAAACCCGAAGCGAAGGTGGCATACTTACCCTGCCATTGCCTTGTGATTTTGGAACTCGGTTTCCCGTGGCACCTGCTGAAAACCCAGTGACACCTCAGGAACCCACGCGGAGGTGACAGCGCATTCAGATGGCAACCGTTCCAGACAGTGTGTCACTGTGTATCCCACACTGCGGCTTTCAAAACTTTATTTTTAACGTGGCCAGAGAGGGACAGAGTGAGAGTGAGAGAGGGCAAGTGGGAAAGCAAGCCGCCAGGTCCGGGACTGGAACCGCAGCTGGCCATGTGGGAGTCCAGCGCCTTAACCACCACGCCCCCACCTGCCGGCCCCACACGCTGTGCGTTTTACGTAGTGTAACGTGTGTCCGAGGAATGCTGACCCTTGTACTTAATTTGCTGTCAGGGATTTGCCAGAGGGGAAACAGCCAATCAGGCAGCTAGCAACGTGCCCTGTCCCAGATGCCAACCAAGCGTTTCCTTAGCAGATGCAAAGGATGACAAGTGTCGGTACTTCATACAACTAGATTTAATAAGTTGTTGTTACAGAAAAAAAAATGAAGTCCAAACTACAAAGTTTAAGCAGTTGTAAGCAGTAGCTGCATTGAGCCCCGGGTAGTCACGGTACTGAGGTTCCATACAAGCGAATGAGTCCCCAACGGCGGAAGCTGAGTAAGGGTCGCTAAGCAAAAAACAGGCTAAGAGAACAAGTAAGAAAAGATACAATACATTGAAAAGTAGTTGTTAGTTGAAAAACAAATACAGAGATCTTAGCGGTGAACACTCTAAAAGTTATGTCCATTATTTTGACAGCAAAAATACAAAGACCCAGTACTTTATACCCCGACAGAACAATATCCAGGAAAGAAAAGGAGAAGTGATCCCGGAGTAGCACCCGAGTTCCCACTGGTTGCCATGCGCCCTGGCGGCAATCACACGTCCACTTCCTGACCCATTGGGGGTATAAAGTCAACAGCATGGGTTAGAAAATACTCTGTGGTAAGATGGAACACGACTGCAGCTGAGATAGAGGAGTTCGGTTATTAGAAAATAATAATAAAAAAACGAACGTTAGCTGACACACAGTACAAACTAGTGAAAAAGGAACACTCCATACAGTTACGCCAGTTCTAACAAAAGGGTACTTTTTTTTCACTAATCTGTGACTAATCTTTCACTCAAACCTTGCAAGTAGAGATGTCACAATACTCAAATACTTAGGTAGGAGCTTTACCCAGTTAAATGCCATTGTGTTGCTAATATAATAGATAAAATGAAAACTAGCAGGATTTGCTAATTGCATAAATGCAGTACCTCTGCATCAGCCATGCCTCACTAACAAGCTAGAAAACACAAGATATAGGCAAAAATCTAAGCGTAATCTTTATACCACTAAGCAAGAATTTTCCAGTGATTTCTTTTCTTCGGTTCCTAATCATTTATTTGTAGTTAATGTAAAATTCCAACCAGTCGTACCCAATTTGGGTTAAAATTTTACATCACGACTTGATCTAATCTATATATTATTTACAAAACTGAATACACAGAGCGTTCCCCAGAGCCGAGTCCGGACGCGGGTCTCCGAGTGACCGGCCAGCCTCGCTCGGGCCGGAGCGGGAGGCCTGAGCACTCGCAGACGCGCCTCGTCTGGGGCAGGTCACCGGCCTCCTGTTTACCAACACCAGTTCTGCAGTCGGATGGTTTGGGGGTTCGTGCCCCTGTGCTGGCACCAGCTGCCTAACAGTGGGGCTCCCAGGCGGGGCGGGGAAGCAGCAGCAGGAGGCAGGCGGGTCATGCAGGGGCAGCAGAGTGTCGCCTGAGGCAGGCAGACAGGGCGCCAGGGCGGGGAGCAGGCAGGGTGAGGACGGGCAGCAGACACGTGCAGTGGCCATGTACAGGGGTGACAGCCCAGCGTGCTCCCTCAGGGCGGCCACCCAGCCCCGCTTAGCGACTCTGACTCAGACGTCACCACTGTGAGCGCATGGAGAAATGGCGGGACAAAGGAGTGTCGCACACGGGGACAGCGGACGGACGTGGCAGGGCCTCACACACATGCACGCACACGGGTACAGGCACGCACACGGGTACAGGCACGCACAGGACACAACGGAGGGGGCGGGGAGCAGTAAGACGTCCCATTGACCCAGCCAGGCGTGTCCTCCCCACCTGGGACCCCAGGAGGTGACTTCACTGGAGGGCCCGGGATCTGGCTGCCCTGGTGTTGTGTAAACCCACTGGGACGTCCCTAGAGAACTGTACTGTGACATCCCTGGTCTCACGCTAAACCACTGTGATAAAGGAAAAGGCTTGTCGAAAGCTCACGTGTTCTTCTCATTCTGCCATTTTATTCCCAGTTGTCCGTTACACGTCACTTTACATAACCGACCGCTCTCATCGTTGTAAACCACATCAGCAAGTTAATACATAAAGCTTTGCATTTCAAAAAACTAGACACTTTAGTAACAATATTACAAAGGTTTTAGCTTCAAAAATAACTGAAAATGAAAAAAATAAACTTTTAAAGAATTAGCATCATAAAATTAATTTATTCCAAGTAAAAATACAAAATAATAATATGACATTGACCAGATATGAAAGTCCCTCCCAGAAACAACTCTATTAATGATTGAGAAAGCACTCCTTAAAGAAAATACGAAATAAAATGAAAAATATGTAAATATGTTTAATTTTTTTCTTAGCAAAAAATCTTTCTAAAAATAACAATGAAAATTTGTCTCAGTACAAAGGCTACATTACTATTGAAAAAATACCAGCATGAAGAAAAGGTACATATTTGACAGTAGAAAAATGATTTCAGTGAATCACAATGTCTAAAGTTTGCAATGAAAATAAATCTGCAATAAAGATTTATGCCTTTTTTCTTTTCTTTTTTTTTTTCTATTTTTTATACAAACAGTACAAACAGTATTGCACATAACAACAAATAGTCGAGGTTAGGTTATAGCCTTCAAAAAATCGACTAGTTCAAGTGTCACTTCAAGGAAAGGCCACAACAGGACCGTGTTACCCAGGGGCTTCCCCGTCACGTTGCAGGTCAGATCACCTCTGTGTTTTAAAAAATAATTTTTTTGGAAGGACCCTCTCTTTGAATATAACATTAACAACTTGGGGGCACATTTATTTACAAAACAAAAGGGAACATGTTATAATTTAATAAACTAAAAAAGTTCTCTTTAAAAAAATACAAACAGAAGAACTCTTTCACAATCCTGGTCAGTCGTGCACAATCAACCCTTGATTATAAATATACAAATGAAGGGGAAGTGGCTCCACCACCTCGTCACAACCCTCAGCACCGAGTGGAGCTGACCTCCGTAACCTATCCTTCACGGCCGTGTGTTCTCCCTCATTTTAGCTTTCTGCTGTACCATCGTCCGGCTTTTTAAAATCTCAGTGTTCTTTTAGTACATGAGAGGGGTGCTTCTTCAAAAGGTTTTGCTTCTTTCACATAATTAGGTAGATTTCTGTAGGTTAGATATGATCTTTAATATTATAGTTATAAAGCTCTAACTTCTTCATTTTCAAAAAACACAAATAAGCATGAAAAAAATAAAGTTACCCATCTGTTAAATCATTTTCTTGCAGAATTAAATTAATATATATTTTTCTGAATAAACTTACTTAGAAAATATCATTTTCTTTCCTATATTTCAAAATTGAGGTATTGCAAAAGATCATGTCAGTCAGAAAGCATGCCTTTTTCCTTAAAAACAAACAAACAAAAAAATCTTCAGCCAACTTTTGAAAACTGTCTAGAATACAAAAAGCAGTAGTGCATAACAAAATTTCTTGTACAGATGAAAAAAACCCACGAACATAGGGGGGGGAAAAAAAACCCAAAAAAACAAAACCAAAGAAAAAAACACACCTGGGCTGGAAAAAAGCCACTATTACCAAAAAGCCCAGAGGTAACCTCAAAGGGGGAGGGTTCTACTAAGCATTTTTAATCCAGTAAAAAAACTATTTTGTTTTTCCATTTTGAAAACAAACGATAGCTTGGGAGCTGGTAATCGCAACTAAACGCAGAAGGAAAAAGAGAACAAACGGAAGAAAACTGAAGAGAAGCAATATTAACTTAGGACAGTCCCAGGACTGCGCAGTACGTGAGACGCAGCGACTTAAGTCTACTCTGCAGTGTCATAGCCAGTCAGATTGTCCCCAGAATTCCAAAACATAGGAAGAAGATCAAAGAAGAGTTCCACTGTCTCACAATCACCGCGTGTTTCCCTCTTACTCTCTGCAGCCTGCGAGTGAATGCTAAAAAAATGTCCGCGGAAGGACGAGCAGGTCCTTCTATTCTATTCTAGTCAAGCTTTGCGGGACACATCCAGGGAATTAAGTAGTTCGTTTCTCGCCCGGACAGCCAGCTCTGCCCAGGCCGCCTTCTTTGCTACAGACATTTCTTTAGCATCCCCGTTACATATCTCTCGGGAAAAAATGTGTCTAGTTTGTCAATCTGACAACTTATCTCTATGTACTGTATATATTCTTAGTGTCTGTAAGCTAAGATGAGCTCTTTGGTTTTCTGGATAAGGTCTGAAGCTATGTAAAATGGTGCAAGCAACTAGGAGGTTGTAACTAAGAGCTCATGTGTTAGTTCGTAAGATACCAGTTGTGAACTGTCGAGTTCGTCAATGTCTGACACAGAGGCTTTGAACAGTTACGTTTGATCACAGTTAGACATAATCACTTTACTATATAAAATAAATTGCACAATATAGAACAGAGCACCGCAAAGTACTTCATCTACCATCGACGAGTTTGCTTGAAGAATATCCTACACCTAGGTTTTCTACTGGTTGTAATATAGGTCGTTCTGCCATAGGCGCTTCCTGTTCCGAAGCATTCCGTTTACTGAGGCATGCCTTCCTCCGGTCAATCACCAATTCTTTGAATGAAAAAAAAAACTTTTTTTTTTAAATCAGTATTTTATAGCTTATATAGATTCTTAATTTGTGCATTGTGGGAAGGTTTTATACTAGACATTGGATATAAAATTTATTGCATGCAGCAACCTGATTAAGTAAACATGCAGTCAGAAAGAGCGACCTTCCACGGAAGCTTTCTGAAGTCTATTCTGATCTCTCTCGGCAGCTGACTCTACCCCTAAACCACACAAGTGTGTTGCTGGGTTTTGTTTCTGTTTTAAGTGATACCTTAGCCTGAATAGAGAATTATGGTATCAGTAATACCATTTTAATAGCAGCAAAAGCTATTGCAGCATCGATTTACGTAACACTAAGAGATCTAACCAAAGTCCTCAGCAAAACAAAATCAAACGTGGAGGAAAAATAAAGATCCAGCTTCTGAGGTATCCTTACAAGTCAAATCGACAGCGACTAACGGCTTATTTTCACGAAGGGTTTCCTTACTCTACGACCCAGCGGAGGACTGCTGATCGGGACGTGTCCGCTACCTCGGCCACCTGCTCGCGAGTTCCCTTTGGTACGTCTTGTCCTAGGGCAGCTCTCTACGTTTCTGAAAATAAGTGCATGCTCCAGTTCAAACCAGTCGGAACGACAGCAACACGGCAACAAGGGAGGGATCGCGGCCACCAACCCGGTGGCTGCTGATGGCGAGGGCAGTCTACAGACTGTCACGAGTGACAAATCGGGTGTAAAAAATTAAGGTACCAAGCAGACAAAGTGTGACTCAAAGTGCAGATCAGTACCGTTAGACACTCTGCAGGTGTGCGTTATACTGGACACTGAGTTCAGTAATATGACTGTAAATAATAATAATAATAAAAAGACCCATTTCTTCTTTAAAAATCGAGAACGAATGCACAGATTTCCAGAACGCCGTAAGCCCTGAGGCAGTGCCCTCTCTTTTCCCTCCTCGTTATCTACTCCAGTACTTGTGGCGGGGTCAGCCCCGGGCTCAGCTCCAGCGGAACGGGACGTGGCGAGGACGGTCGCCTCCCTCCTTCACCAGCGGTTTGTGGAACTCCCGGCCGGCGCGGGAGTGGATGCTGGCCCAGCAGTACTCGCAGTAATACTGCAGGCAGGTGACGTTGGCACAGAAGAACGGGGCGAACTTCCCGCCGCAGCGCGTGCCCTGGCACTCGTCGCACATCTGGTCGTCCAGCACGTAGGGCTTCACCTCCACCTGGGCCCACGGAGGAGAGACAGGGACACGGTTAGCAAGGCAGCTGGGCCACACGGCTGGGACCTCCGAGGGGTCCAGATGGCAGCTGAGTGCAGGTTTGCGACCAGCTCCTGGACTTGCTGGCTGTGTGGTGCCAGGCAACCCCTAACCCTCCCTGTGCCTTTCTCTACATCCCTGCAGAACAGGTGCCATTTACATGTGCACGCGTGTGTGCCCTCTGCATGCGGGTGGAGTGTCCACACCAGAGGGTACATGTGAGCACGCACACGGAGCCCCCAGGGCTGGCAGCCTCTGGCCACACAGGACAGCGGCCTTTGGGGAGAGGAAACATCAAGGGAATGGCGGGGTGGGGTTTCGCTGGAGTCAGGCCTGTGGGAAGAGCCAGGCCGGGGCTGGAAAGGCAAGGCTGCAGGGAGAGCTGCTGAGAGGCAGTGGCTTTGACATTTAACAGTAAGACTTTCAAAGGACAGATGCCCAGAACTGTACCCCGGGGACCGGAAGGGCAGGGGCGGCAGCCAGAGGGGGCGGAGCCGCTGGATTCTGGATTTGGGATCTCTCCATCTTACTCTTCCCCCGTCAGCAGCCGCAGTGGACGCGCCGCTCATCACGGCCCTCTCGGAGCCCTTTCCGGCCCGAGGGAAGGAAGGCTGCAGGGCAGGAAAACCAGGGAAGGGATGGCAACGACCAGTCTCCCCACTGCCTCGCCTGGGACCTCAGGAAAGGGACATGGCTGACCTCCATTTTCTGTCCCCATGTGAGGAACTAGCACGAAGGTGGCAGTCCAAGATCAGGCCCTTCCCAGGCCTACTCCTAGGCTGGGACAAGGACAAGGACATGCAGCTTCCTGAGGGGTGCTGGGGGGCGCGGGTGGCCCAGGTGCAGGCGGAGGCTGGGGCACACCGTGAGGCTGCTCTGCTCGGGTGCTTGGGGGGGCAGCAGGGTGGGAGACAGGGTGGGCTGGCACTGGCTGGCCCCCTTGCCCTTCGGAAGGCCCTGCGGCTGGCCTCCTCAGACTGCTACCGCCAGCCCTGAGCTCCAGGCCAAGGCCATTCTGCCAGGCAGACGATTCCAGTGGGAGACTCGGGGGTGTCCTCACTCTGGCTCTCCTGCCCCTCTTCCTGTTTCCCCTGTCAGCCTGCCGAGTGAGTGAGTGGGCCTCAGGAAACTCTCACCTGCATCTCTGCGGCGTATTGGTGCGGGCGGCCCCCCTTCCCCTCCGGAAGCCCCTGCGGCTGGCCTCCTCAGACTGCTACCGCCAGCCATGAGCTCCAGGCCAAGGCCATTCTGCCAGGCAGACGATTCCAGTGGGAGACTCGGGGGTGTCCTCACTCTGGCTCTCCTGCCCCTCTTCCTGTTTCCCCTGTCAGCCTGCCGAGTGAGTGAGTGGGCCTCAGGAAACTCTCACCTGCATCTCTGCGGCGTATTGGTCACAGTGGCTCTAAGGCGAACTGGCTGGGATCAAACCTAGGCCCCATTGGTAGTTGTGTATCTTAGGCAAGTCTCTCAGCCCCTCTGAGCCTCTTTCTCCTGAGATGGCGGGGGTCTTCAAAATGTTCATGGAAACAAGCATTGTGAAAAAATTATGCATGGGGACCAGCAGATGGTATAGATGTTAAGGCACTGGATCCCACATGCCAGATCGTATGGTTCGAATCCTGGGCCTGGCAGCCTGAAAAACTTACCAGGCGTGCGTGCGTGCGTGTGCATGTGTGTGTTTGAAATCCTGAAAGGATAATAGAGAAGGGATTGCGACATGGCCCCCCCTCCGGGGTGTGCTTTCTCACTTTCCCTCTCTCTGTCTCTGGTGAGCAATGCACCCTACAGCAAAACCAAACCGAACTCAAAACTATACACAGATTTAATGGCTGTCTGAACGAGAATAAACTCATACTTCAGTTCCTTCTTCCCAGGGCCTCCTTGAGGTCCCCACGTACATGCCCTGGCGGGAAGCTGGGTTCCCCTTCGCAGGGTTCCTTTTGAGAGGGCGTTACACCGCGTGGAACAGCGCCGCACGGTGCCGGCACGCACACCAGCTATTCCTACTGTCCCCTCTCTGTTCAGGCCACCACAGCTGCGTGTGTTCAGGATCGCTGGCGTCTACACTGGCCACCAAGCTCCAGGCCTTTGGTGGCTTAAGTTGGGGCCCAGAGGGATCTGCTTTGTCCTCCTCTGAACTTCATGCTCCCTGTCACGTGTCTGGCCTTCCTGCTGGTGGCTCTGCCGTGGTCAGCGCCTCCCCCAAGTGGCCAGAGGACAGTTCTGGAGCAGGAGAGCCGTAGCCCTGGGGTGACTGTGGGCTGCGGGACAGGCAGACTCCTGGGGCGGCAAAGATGGCACCCAAAGTGGAATGAATCCTTCCTGCCCCGAGGACAGGGGCTCAGAGCTGGCGTGCAGGGAACAGGTGGCAGCTGCTGTCCCTCCAGTCCGGGAGGAGAGGACTGCTTGGCTTCCACCCCAGGAAGACACCTCTTCTCAGGATGTGCTAGCAGCCAGCTCTGAGCCCCCCGAAGCTGGGAAAGGGGATCCAGCTGTCAGAGAGGACTAGTCTCCACAGAAAGGACTGTGGTGTGGCCATTCCTCCAGGGAGTGATTTCTCAGCTTCTGTCTCTGTCTCTCCGGCAAGCACATGTGCCCTATAGCAAAAATCCCTCAAAATAAAATACTAGCAGCTCTAGTCTGTATTAATGAGAAAAAATACACACCCTAGGTATGTCCTGGTAAAATCCCTTGCTAAAATTTCCAAAACCCAATGATAAATAGAAAATGTTACATGTTGCCAAATGAAAAGAGAGTTATTGCCTCCTACCAGTGAAAGAAAGTGGATGAACTGCAGTACTGGCAGCCACGAGCCCTGGGAATGCTATCAGACTGCAAGAAAGATACCATCTAGGGCCGCAGGGTGGTGTGGAGGTTAAGGTGGCCGGATCCCACATGGCCAGCTGTGTGGTTTGAATCCAGAACCTGGTCTGACACGCTGGACACATGTGTATGCAAGCCCAAATCCAGACAAGAGAATGGAGAAGAGATTGTGGTGTGGCCATCCTCCCTTGGGGGTGATTTCTTGCTTTTCTTCTCTTTCTTGCTCTAAGTGCACACGGCCTATAGCAAAACTAAAAAGCTGCTGTACCACCCACCTTGCCCGTCGTAAGCAGGAGGCGTTCTAAACCTTCTGTAGAGTGGCGTCAGGTAGAACAGAACGGTGGACAGTTTTCTGTCACCATCTTTAAAACCCCGCAATCTGTCATCACTTCCAATAACACCTTCCAACCACCGTTCCTAAGTTTGCAATTTCCAGTAGTTTTCATTTTGACTAGAAAGCTGGAAAATCGAGGTTGCTATGGGCTGCACATTAAACCAGTCAAGCTGACTGAATAAATCCAAATAATAAAGGCTGTGGCTTCTGGACTGCGACCGTGCTGTCAGGGGCCTTCCCTGAATACCTACGATGGCAGCGAGACTCCTGCTGCGGACGGCTGCAGCACCCGTGCGAAAGGTGTACAGAAAACGTTCTGGAGACAGGGCGCCACGCCGCCACGCCGCCACGCCATGGCTCAGTGACCCTCCAACACAGACGGCCATGCCTGGGTGGGCGGCAATCAATCAGCATCTCGGCCGATTTAAGCAACAAGCCAAGAGAAGCTGCAGGAAGGACACCGGTGTGTAAGCTGCTATGTACTTAGAGTGGCTGCTAGGCCGACCCCGTGGCCTGCTGGCTGAGGGAGCCAGATTCCACTGGAAAACACATGCCGCATGCGTGTCCTTGCCCCAGATCCCAACAAGACGGGGAGATGGGAGAAGGGACTGCCGTGTGCAGCCACGCATCTGGGGGTGCTTCTCCCTCTCTCCCCTTCTCTCTCTGGTGAGTGACACGCCCTCTGGCAATTAACAAAAAGAAAAGGCGGTAGCTTAGCACAGGTGCATTTGCTAAGACGACTAATATTTACGGATGCCTATCCCTTGCTAGTTACCATATACTTTTCTTGTTTCAGAAAGATTTTTGCTATAGGGCACGTGTGTTTGCTGACGAGACAGAAAGAAACAGAAGCAGAAAGCAAAAAATCAACCTCGGGGGTGATGGCCAAGCCACAATCCCTTCTCCTCCAGTCTCCTCTTGAGAGTTTTGGCCACATACTCACATGCACCCAGCATGAGTTTTACGTCACGGGGTCCAGAACTCGAACTACAGTCAGCTACGTGGGAGTCTAGCGACGTAACCATTACGCATCTGCCGGCCTGTTGCCATATTTTTTCAAAAGCTTATGTATTTCCTTCACTGTGGGGAGGCACAGCCAACAGGGCTTCTGTGCATGACCTTCCCTCCAGCCCTGGCAAGCAGCCAGGGTCACGCGTATCAGGAAGAGCCAGGACGGAAACCTAGAGCCTTCCCACTGGCTCCGCGTTCCGTGTACAGTGCCCTCCCACCTGCACCACTGTGCTGGGCCAGCTGCCACATGAAACCAGAAACGTGAGACACCAAGACCCAGTTCTTCTCTAAAGTAATTCATGGCCTATGAGAGTTTCCTTTCTTTTTAAAAAATAATTATTTAACTTTATTTATTTTTTAATTTGACCAGAGAGGGACAGAGCAAGAGAGTGAAGGAGCGAGAGGGAGAGAGAGGGAGAGAGAGGGGAAGTGAGAAAGCAAAGCCGCCAGGTCCGGGCCATGACTCGTGGTCAGCCATGTGGGAGTCCAGCACCCTTACCCACCATGGCACCTGCCGGCCCGAGCGTGTTTCTCAAAGGCATTCCCAAAGCATTTGTAGTTCTGCCATCCCAGTCACCTGTACTATTACTTGGTATTTTAGCTGACTATCCAAACTGACTGTATTTTTCTGAAAACACTAATTTCTCTGTTAACACCTTAACACTGATACACCTAGTGTATCAGGAAGCCATGATATTCCAGAGACGCGAACCTGGTGGACCTTGTTACTCAGCTATACCACGAAGCCCAGGTACTGGGGCTGGGAGGGCGGGCTCGGGGAGAAAGCATTTAACAG